TAGCTGGGATTACAGGCACGCGCCACCACGCCCAGCTAGTTTTTTGTATTTTTTTAGTAGAGACGGGGTTTCACCATGTTGACCAGGATGGTCTCGATCTCTGGACCTCGTGATCCACCCGCCTCGGCCTCCCAAAGTGCTGGGATTACAGGCTTGAGCCACCGCGCCCGGCCTATTTGTTTGCATATTGTGTGGATGATTTCTTCACTCTTAGTGTCACATTTGTTCTTGACTTACCTCACCTTTGTGGTTGCAAAAATATAAACTCTGCCCCCTTTCCATTCCTCTTTTGTCTCTCTCTCCAGTAGGTAATGGTGACCTGTACATATTATTCCTCAACTCTGATATGATATATGTTTGCTAACTAGCCCCGATACTTTTCTGTCTTCCTATAAAAACTACTCCTCTTATTCTTACTGCTCACACAACACCATATCAAGGTTTGCTTTCTGCAGTTAGAGAATATATTGTGTTTTCATTGGAAAAGCCATTGGTGTGCTACCCTAGAATTTTTACTTGTGCTGGAATTTATTTCTGTCACATTGTTTCCCACAGCTTGGGCAGCATCTCTCAGTTGCAAGAGGGATTTTATAAATAGTGGAATTTATTCAGTTTGTTTCTCTCCAGATTTGGAGTGTTAATTCATCTCTATGACTTCTGATACATAAGAACCGAGTTAGGAGTCTTGCCAAACAGAGCTGTTTCATTCTCCTCCAGAAGCTATTGTATTTTTGCTTGACTATCACCTTTGAAGTTTATGGCTTTGAGCTCTTCCTGTCTTGTGTATTTGCTGCTGGAGAACCAACCTACCTGTCTGTTTACTCTCTACTTTCTTTCTTTTTCTTTTTGATGTTGGTTGAAGATGGGAGATTATGTGAAGAAGCTTTCATTTCACTACTTCATCCCAGAGTCTTCCTGGGTTTTTTTGTTTGTTTGTTTGCTTGTTTGGGTTTTTTTCGGAGGGGTGTGTGTGTGTGTGTGTGTGTGTGTGTCTGTGTGTGTGAAAAAATAAACATAATGTAAAATTTGCCATCTTAGCCATTTTTAAGTATACAGTTCAGTGGCATTAAGTACATTTAAATTGTGCAACCTTCACCACCATCTATCTGCAGAACACTTTTCATCTTGCACAACTAAAGCTCTCTCCCCGTTAAACAATAACTCCACATTTACTTCAACGCCTTTTTTTGTTTTAAAATTTACATTATATAAGACTGTTTTTATACTGATATGGTTTGGCTTCATTACCCCACCTAAATCTCATGTTGAACTGCAATGCCCAGTGTTGGAGGTGGGGCCTGGTGAGAGGTGATTGGATCGTGGAGATGGTTTCTAATGGTTTAGCACCATTCCCCTCGTGCTGTCTTAGCGATAGAGTTCTCACAAGATCTGGTTGTTTAAAAGTGTGTAGCATCTCCCGCTTCGCTCTTTTTCTCCTGCTCCTGCCCTGTAAGATGTGCCTGCTTCCCCTTCACTTTCTGCCATGATTGAGTTTCCTGAGGCCTTCCCAGCCATGCTTCCTGTATAGGCTGCAGAACCATGAGCCAAATAAACCTCTTGTTTTCATAAATTACCCAGTCTGTTATGTCTTTACAGTAGTACAAGCACAGACTTATTACATGTATCTTCTGTAAAATTATTGAAACTACTATCTTGTTATTTTTATCTACATGTGAGTAAGATAAGCTAGTCTTAGAATTACTTTCAGGAAAAGTTCATTCCTGCTATTTGCTGAAAAAAATATATATATATATGTGTGTGTGTATATGTATGTATGTATATGTATATATGTTTTACCCTATATTACTAGGGGTAAAACATACTGTGTAGATAGATTCCCTTTGTACCTTGATTGCCAAGAAGTGTAAGTACCTCGAGCTTAGCTTTTCTGGCATAATTTTATATCTCAGTTTTGTTTTATGTGTTTAAGTCCCCCACAGAGCTTTTCTGTAGCAAATGAAATATAATAAAATAACACATGAGGCCAGGCATGGTGGCACAATTCCTTGTAGTCCTAGCTACTCAGGAAGCTGCGGTGGGAGGATCGCTTGAGACCAGGAAGTTGAGGCTACAATGAGCTATGGTCGAGGCTGCACTCCAGCCTGGGTAACAGAGTGAGACCCTATCTCTGAAAAAAAAAACAAAAAAAAGAAGAAATGATTAAGTAGCTTTTAGTTTAGCCAAAAGAATTCTCTAAATGAGAATTGCATATTGTTTATTTCAATGTAAGTATTGTATTTCTTCCCAAGTTCACAACCTCTTTGTCAGCTGAAATGCTTCGGAACTGACTTAATCACTAAGCTTTTTTTCAGCTGAATTGCTATATATAAGATAGAGGAAAATCTTAGTGATTATGGGTAAGTTTGGGAGATTTGTCCAAAACTAAAACTTTTTAAAAGGAAAAGGAAATATTTATTACATGTTTACCATATGACATATTAGTCATCATAAGAGCCCTAGTTGGTTATTTAACAGATTTATTTTCTCCATATTTCAGCTATGAAAACTATAGCTCATTCATGTGAGATTATTTTCCCAAGATCTCTTAACTAGTAAAAGTAGAACTGGAAGTTAGATCCTTTTTTTTTTTTTTTCGGAGAAATTACAATAGAACCTTTATTTCTGATGTCTCTATTCTAAAAACATTTTGTACTATAAACATGAACTGTTTCAGCCTTTGTCCTATAAATGCTTTGGAAATATTTACTTCTGTAAATATATCCAAAAGAAATGACTTTTTAGTAAGGAATATAGTAATATACTTCCTAAAATCTAGAAAATAAAAAATACTTTTCCCTGAGAGGAAACTTTAGAAAATCAACCTATACCAAGCCAAAGTAGAAATGTACAAGCCCCTTAAAGAAAGTGATGGCTCCAGGTCTGCACGTTTGGGCAAGTTTTTACAGTTAATATGTTTGTGAAATTCAACAAATAACTTCTGTTGACAACAGGAGAGTAAATGTTGTTATTAGTCAAGAAACAGTGGTTTTAATTTTATTCCTCTCCTCAACAGTCACAAATACCCTTAAAGATGATTTTTTCTTAAACTCTTCTTAATTCTTTCTTTTCCCCATCTCATTTTCCCAACTCTACAGCCATGTAATCCTTTGCAGAGGCTACATGGGGTTTGGAAAAGTGGGGGGAAAAGTTGAAGACAGTTTTAAATTCATGCTGGCTGTGCTGTTATTTCACTATTTTGTTTTTATGCATTTCTCACTGAAAGGATAATACATATGTGTATTAGTCTATTCTCATGCCACTAATAAAGATATACCTGACACTAGGTAATTTATAAAGGAAAGAGGTTTAATTGACTCACAGTTCAATATGGTTTAGGGGGCCTCAGGAAAGTTACAATCATTGCAGAAGGGGAAGCAGACAGCAAGAAGTGCCGAGCGAAGGGTAGTGGAAAGCCTCTTTTAAAACCATCAGATCTCATGAGAACTAACTCACTGTCAGGAGAACAGGATTGGGGAGACCACCCTCATAATTCAGTTATCTCCTTCTGGTCCCTCCCATGATACATGGGGATTATGGGAGCTGTAATTCAAGATGAGATTTTGGGAGGAAATACAACCAAACCGTATCAATATGGCTTAGGGGCTGAGTACAGGTTTTGGTTTTAGATAGCCTGTATTCACATCCTAGCTTTTCTTTCCACTTAGGCAAGTTAAGTAAATTCCCTTTACTTCAGTTTCATCATTCATAAAATGAGGGCAGAAATAGTAGGAAAGTCATGGGATTGTTGCAAGGTAAAATTAAGGCACTTAAGACATGCTTGTCACATAGGACTGGTGTGGCACACTCTTGTAATCCCAGCACTTTGGGAAGTGGAGTCGAGAGGTTTGCTTAAGGCCAGGAGTTAGAGGCCAGCTTGGTCAACATAGCAAGACTGTCTCTCTACAAATTTTTTAAAAATCCGGCCGAGTGTGGTATCTTACACCTGTAATTCCAGCACTTTGGGGAGTTGATGTGGGAGGATCACATCAAGCCAGAGTTCGAGACCGGCCTGGGCAACATAGCGAGAAACTGTCTGTACTACAAAATATATGTACATAAACATACCAACCCCTACTATTCTAATGAGTAAGCCTTCTATAGGGCTGGGGATCAGATTTTCCCTATTATTTACTTGTTTATTTTTAAATACCATGAGGGTTTTTTGTCTGTTTTGTTCACTGCTGTATCCCAATACCTAGAATAATACCTGGGACATTAAGTAGCCACTCAATATTTTGTTTTGTTTTTTTTGTTATTGTTTGTTTTTGTTTTTGTTTTTGTTTTTTGAGACAGAGTCTCACTCTGTTGCCAGGCTGGAGTACAGTGGCACAATCTTGGCTTACTGTAACCTTTGCCTCCTAGGTTCAAGCGATTCTCCTACCTGAGCCTCCCAAGTAGCTGGGACTACAGATGTGTACCACCACGCCTGGCTAATTTTTGTATTTTTAGTAGAGACAGGGTTTCACCATGTTGACCAGGATGTTCGCAATCTCTGGACTTTGTGATCCACCCACTTCAGCCTCCCAAAATGCTGGAATTGCAAGTACGAGCCACCATGCCTGGCCAATATTTTTTTTTCTTCCCTTAGAGAACTTGGAATTACCAATTTTTTTTTATGAAAAAAATAAATGTTTTATCTGTGGATAATTTCTCAGTGGTTTGTCTTCTCTCTTGCTGTAATTTTTTTTTTTTAATTTACTTAGATAAAAGTCATTCTTTTTGCTGGACAGTTCCATTTGCTAATTTATGGTCAAATCCTCTTAACCCCTGTCAACCACAGATTTATTCTTCGTCTTTAGAATTTCGGGTTTTCCAGAGGTCAGATAATTGAATCATACACTAGATACCTTTTTGAATCTGGCTTCCTTCACTTATAATGCATTTGAAGCTCATTCGTGTTAAGTGTATTAATAGCTTATTCTTATAAGTGATATTCCATTGAATGGAACAAATACATTAACAGTCTTGTACTGTTTTGTCTTTTTTTTTTTTATTTTTAGCTTTCCAGAGTGTTGGATCTTCCACCAGAAAACTTGATCAAGTCAATATCTGCAGTTCCAATTTTCAAAAATGAGTTAAGTATAATATACTTGTAACAGTCTAAAAAGTTGCTGACTTTGTTGCTATACCAAAAAAGTAAAAAAAGAATTGTTACTCTTCAATTTATGATATAGTCCTTGAAATTAACTATAAGATATGACTCATTATATTCAACCTGTTACTCCCATTGAGTTAAATAATAAAATCTGTATTTTAAATATTCTGATGTGGCAGATTATTATTATTCACTACTGTATCCCCAATACCTGGAATAATGTATTATTCCATTAATCCCATTGACTTAAATAATAAAATTAAAATCTGTATTTTAAATATTCTCATGTGGCAGATTATATATTCTTATGTTAATTATATTAGTTATGCTAGTAAATATAATTATGGCAAAGTCTTTGGGAATGAGGTTCAAATTCAATACTGTAACAATAAAATCACAAAAATCATGATTAGAATTGCAGTGTTTTTGTAGGGATATTAAAGATTGTACAGCCATCTGGTGCTTGGATACTGTTGTACCATATTTATCTACTAGGTTTTTAATGTTGTTTTCGTTTATTGGGTTTCTTTTGAGTATTCCCAGTGATAGAAAATTGTTGGTTAGGACTACCCACAACCAGTAGTTACTTTCTTGGTTACAAGAGATGTCTCTTTGTGAGTTTGGTCATCCTAAATCATTCTTGTTTACCATTTGGGTAGAAAACTCTACCATTTGGATAAAATATTCTCTGTCAATTAATAATGAAAAGAAATTAGCTACATAGTGGGCATTTAAGCCCTAAGCTTTGAAAAGAAGTAAAAGATATAATTGCCAGTACCGTTATGTCTTTGTATTTTATTCACTCAACTTTGTCAGGACTTTAAGGTAGAGTAGAATGAATATTCTTTGTCTCAGAATAGAACAAAAAAGTAAGTGGAAAAGAAATTGAAAATCCTATTCAAAAGATAGGCCAAGATGGTTCAGCTTATTGAACGCCTTTGAAACATCAAATGAAAATGGAGGCCGGTTCTTAGAATCTGGGTCTTCCTATGTTGCCCAAGCTGCTCTTGAACTCCTTAGCTCAAGCATTCCTTCTGCCTTGGCCTCCGAAAGTGCTAGAATTACAGGCATGAACCCCTGTACCTGGCCGAAGTTTGATACATACTAGGCTGCTGGATGATGTATTAAGGCTCAGGAAAATTCTCTTTTTTTTTTTTTTTTTTCTGAGATGGAGTTTCGCTCTTGTTACCCAGGTTGGAGTGCAATGGCGCGATCTCGGCTCACTGCAACCTCGGCCTCCTGGGTTCAGGCAATTCTCCTGCCTCAGCCTCCTGAGTAGCTGGGATTACAGGCACACGCCACCATGCCCAGCTAATTTTTTGTATTTTTAGTAGAGACGGGGTTTCACTATCTTGACCAGGATGGTCTCGATCTCTTGACCTCGTGATCCACCCGCCTCGGCCTCCCAAAGTGCTGGGATTACAGGCTTGAGCCACCGCGCCCGGCTGAAAATTCTTAATGGTCATTGTAGACTAGGTTTTTAAATGTGATGTTAACCAGAAGTCACACAGGAATTTTTAGTCATTTCTCTGAGTTTCACAAGTGTTAATTAAGGGAATCATTTGTACCTTCTCAAAAATATGTCTTTTCATTCCAGTGACAGATGGGCTTGATAAATAATGTTTCAACCCTCTTACTCTGCCCATAGTGTCTCATTCTCTAGTTCCATATTAAACACCAGAAGATTAATTAGTATGTTGATTTAAAAAAAAAATTTTTTTTTCACCTGGAACTATTTCAAACCTCTGGAAAAATTCATAGTGATATAATGAGTACTCTCATGGTCCCTTTCAAAATTGTCAAGTCCTTTTTCCAAATTTACTTCAAGTCTTATTTTGTGGGGAAAGGGAAAGCTTTAGATTGTTATTAAGCATTAAGATAACGTTGAAGTCACTATATATATTTATTTGACTCCATTCCCTACCCTGCTCCCTGGAGAGAAGTGATCTCATGATGCAAATGACTTATTTTCACTAATTGGTTGCTTTGTGTTTGTTTCTTTGTTTTTGTATTTTCACCTACCCAATGAAAAGGATAAATGGAATTGTCTCTCTCTTTAATGAACTACTGAGTGTTAAGAATAGTCTTATTTTTCTCATCTTGAAACTCGAATTACAACATTTTTAAAAATATGGCATTTGGAGGTCAGTGGAGAAGTTTGAATTAGAAGCAAACTGTAGTAGTAGAAGAAGCATTGTAGAAGAGGTCAAGAGACCTGGGATTTCTTCTCAATCTGTTTTTAGTTGCAGTAGGATTTTAAAGGAAACATTTAGCTTGCCAGACATCAGTTTTCATGTCTATAAGATAAGGTGGCTGCTCTACATGTTTCACAGAGATACTGCAGAGCTACAATTGGGTAATAGAAGAGGAATAATTTTATAAGATGATAAGAAAAACATTCTAAATAAATAATAGGTTACTTCTTATTTCCTTGCTTTTGATTTTGTTTATTTATTTGTGGGTTTTTTTTTTTTTTTTTTGAGACCAGAGTTTTGCTCTTGTCACCCAGGCTAGGGGGCAATGGCACAGTCTTGGCTCACTGCAATCTTCACCTCGTGGACTCAAACAATTCTCCTGCCTCAGTCTCCCGAGCAGATGGGACTATAGGCATGTGCCAACATGCCTGACTAATTTTTGTGTGTTTCTGTGTGTGAGTGTGTGTGTGTGTATGTGTGTGTGTGTGTGTGTGTGTGTGTGTATGTTTAGTAGAGACAGGGTTTCACCATCTGGTCAGGCTGGTCTTGAACTCCTGACCTCAGGTGATCTGCCTGCCTCGGCCTCCCAAAGCGCTGGGATTACAGGTACGAGCCACCGTGCCTGACCCCCTTGCTTTTAATTTTGAAAGCACACATAACGCCTTCTCTGGTAAAGGTATGTCTCAGTGGAGAACTCATAGTGATGAGTCTTTGTTACACAACCAATGCTTTTAAGTTAACAGTCCTATCTCGTTTCGATGTCTCTCTTTAGAGAAGCAGCTGATTTTCAGCTTTCTGTGGATTCTTTATTGGAAAAAGACAATGACCATTCAAGACCAGATATTCAGGTTCATGCAAAGAGGCTAGCAGAGAAGGTACTTAGCACTATTATCTCTTTTTGACATTGTAATAAACTTATTAAAAAAAATACTCTGCAAGCTATCTCAGCCATAATAATGAATTTAATAGTGTTTCTTTGTTCAAGGCATCTTGGGTAGTATAATTTAAATTCATTTTAGCCTTGTACTCTAAGGTTTTAATGATTTTTCAAATTAGTTTTAAAGCATTCCTCTTAAGCTGACATTGTTCAATTTTTTGATTAACCACTTACAGGAGGACTGAAGTGTTAATTAAATTTACAGATTGAAGCTGGATGGACTTTTGAATTTAGGAGAATAAGCTTGATAAATTAGAGCAGTGAGTTGCAAATTTTAAAATGAGTTTCTGAGAAGATAAATATTAAAATATGAGAAGAAATGATTAGATGTAAATAGAATCATGATTGCAGAGAAGAGGTGGTTAGATGATTTAATAAGCTCTTTTATTTTTCAGTTCTCTGATGGGTTTGATATCTAAAAGAGGAATTGAAACTATTATAAGGAATTACTAAATATAAATTGTTAGTGTAATTCTCTCAGAAAAGGCAGAGATGTTGGATAAGGTTATTAACATATGTCACAGAGGCAGTGTCTGGGAACTGAAGAACTGGAATAATGAAAGTCAATATTATAGGAAAAGATATTTATTTAAAGGATAAGTATGATAAAGAGCATTGGTAGCTTAGTAAATACTTGTTTGATCACAAAATCACCCCAGTTTTTTACTAGGAGAATTACTCAAAGTACAATATTTAGTTTCTTTTTCCCATTTCTTGTAAGTTCTTAAAAATAAAGACTAGTTGTTCTTTAGTGACAACAGATATCTCTTCAAGTTCCATAGGTTTTTCATGAGATGGATTTGAACATCTAATAGGTTAAAAAGTGAAGGCATATGCATAGAAGACAAACTATCTAAATTACATCTTATCTGTTGGTGCAGGTGCTTTAGCATAGACCCTGACAGAATATCATGTTCTGTGGTTCTCATGAAAGCTGGGTGAGATAAAAAGTGTTTATTTTATGTCAGAGTAGGTAGAGTATGAGTAGAATGATTTTTCTTACTTGTAAAAAGGTGAATTTGAGGGGAGGGAAAGGGAATGAGGAAGAGAGAGACTGAAAACAGAATAACATGTTGGGGGAAAAGGAAAATGTGTTTACTTAAATAAGATCATGGAACTAAAGAGATTGCCTAAGACCTAGGACCCAATATAGGGACTATGAAAGATGACCTACTTGTATGTTTGTAAGCCAAAAATAGTGTTAGAGCTACGTTTCTCATTAGGCCCATTATGTAACATACCAACTTCATGTGATTTGTTCTTTTCAGCTAAGATGTGATACAGTGGTGAGTGAAATCAGTACTGGTGAAAGGACTGTAAATTTCAAAATAAACAGAGAGCTCTTAACAAAGGTAAGAATAAGTTAATATCCAGCCATTGTGCTTTCATTCTGTCTGCTTCAGTCACAGTGGTCTTCCTCCAGTCCTTTAACTTACTATGCCTTCTCTAACCTCAAAACCTTTGCACATACTGATCCATAACTTGAGGGAGGGCCACCACAAGTGAACACCTACTCATTCTTTAAGTGTTGGCATTTCTTTGGCAGTACCTTTCTGACCCCTTCATTTATATGCTTTCATAGCACTGTATAGTCATGTACCACATGATGATATTTCATACACAACATGTAGAGATGATGATCCCATAAGACAATACCATATTTTTACTGTACCTTTCTGTATTTAGATATATTTAGGTATACAGATACTGTTGTGTTACTGTACTACAGTAACATGCTGTACAGGTTTGTAGCCTAGGAGCAACAGGCTATAGCATATAGCCTAGGTGTGTAGTAGACTGTGTCATCTAGGTTTGTATAAGCACTTGGGAGACTGAGGCAGGAGGATTGCCTGAGCCTGGGAGTTCAAGACCAGTCTTGGCAGCATAGTGAGACCCTATCTCTATGAAAAATTTAAAAATTAGCCACTCAAGGTGGTTTGTGCCTGTAATCACAGCTACTCTGGAGGCTGAAGTGGTAGGATCAGTTGAGCCTGGGAGGTTGAGGTCGCAGTGAGCCGTGACTGTGCCACTGCACTCCAACCTAGGTGACAGAGTGAGACCTTATCTTAGGTTTCAATGACCATGAATTTTCATGCTTCATTTCAATTAATAAACCAAAGAATTTTTTCTGATTTAAGGATACCCATTAGCTCACTTCTTAAAATTACTTCCAAATCTTTCTCAATTGACAATGGAGGGACAAGAATCACAGCTTCGAAGTCCAGCTACTCTTTCTCACATGGGAATTCTTCCATATTGCAGCCTTGAGGATCTGCATCCTAGTGGGAATTTCATTAAAGGAGCAAGCAGACTGCTTACTGTTGCCCTGCTCAGTGTCACAGTAAAGCCAGATCCTACATCAGTGATCACTCGTGTTCAGATACAGAACTATTGAATGTACCTCTGGTGCGTGTTATAATTTTAATAATTCTTCTTTACTCAGAACCTAATTTATTCTACATTTGGCTGTCAATTTAAAAGGAGGAAAGGAAACTGAGGCAAAATTAATATAAGTAGAGAGTTTAGTTGGGTCAAGCTTGAGGATTCCAGCTGAGGAGCACAGATAAAAGTTGCCCTGAATGTACCCTTCAATCAGCGGCAGTTACAAGTGGATTTTTAAAGGGAAAAAAGAGGGAGTTTGAGTTGTTAAATAGAATTTACATTAAAATAATGTAAGCTATTGATAGGCTGCACATTTTTCTTTGTATCACAAATTCCAGTAAGGTGACGATAATGTGTGAGGCAGCTAGTTGGCAACAAAATCACATAAAACAATATGCATAACTGACATCAGATATGCATGTCTTTCTGAGCCTGCATACCTCACATAGCTGAAACTACTCTGAGATATTTTTGTTTTCTCAAGCTTATAGCATCTGTTTTACTCATTATTGGATCTCCAGTTTTATAATTTTAACTGTTTTACAGTCCATTTTTTATAAGTAGGATAATACTCTAAAATAATGATCAAAAGTATAGTAAATGCATAAATCACTAACATAGTCATTAGTGAGGCATTATGTACTGTACATAATTGTATGTGCTATACTTTTATATAACTGGCAGTGTAATAAGTTTGTTTACACCATAATTTTCAGGTTTCACATGGTAGTCATTTGCATGTTTAATGAATTTTTCAGATCACATCAAGAAAAAATTCAACTCGTTAGGACCAACAAAGAATTGCTATATCTTTGCTTGAAAGGTAACCATGATGGTGTTGCGAAGAACTGTCACTTTGGTACCAAACTTCTACCTGTCAGTAGCTTGCAGTACTTTCAAGAGAAACTGTAACTTCAAATAATACTTAATTGTTAAAAGGGAAAAAAGAAAATATTATACTAACCAAATAGGAAAAATGCAGACAAAACTGTTTTCTTAGGGATGCTTCAAAATACACAGTGGATAGAATTTTATTTCACACTTTTTAATTTACCAAATTCAATTTTTTTATTTTTGTGGGGTTTTTTTTTTTTTTTTTTTTGAGGTGGAGTCTCGCTCTGTCGCCCAGCTGGAGTGCAGTGGCACAATCTTAGCTCACTGCAACCTCCGCCTCCCATGTTCAAGCAATTCTCCTGCCTCGACCTCTTGAGTAGCCAGGATTACAGATGTGCACCACCGTGCTGGCTAATTTTTGTATTTTTAGAAGAGATGGGGGTTTCCATGTTATCCAGGCTGATCTCGAACTCCTGACCTCATGATCCACCCACCTTGGTCTCCCAAAGTGCTGGGATTAAAGGTGTGAACCACTGTGCCTGGCCAACTTTGCATGTTTTACCAGAAATAGAGGAAAAAGATACTCATTTAAATGGCACCAGTTCCACTCCAGTGGCTGCATCTATTTCACAAGGAGACTTTTTTCCTATAGGCAGTGGATGCATTCAAGTCACGTATAGTTTCCATAAATACGTGGAAGGAATGAATGATTTTAAGCACTTTTCAACTGTTGACCAAAGAATTGACAAGTAGGGTAGTGGTGATAGCTTCCTTAGACATAGGGAAGTGAGTGATAGCTTCCTTAGAAGTCTGGATCAGAACCATAAATAAATAATTAACCAACAATGAGTTAGATAAAATAAAAAAATTTTCCATAGAAAAAGACAATGGTGATAGACCAAGAGAAAGTACCAGTTAATTGGAATATTAATTAATTTGTAAGCATTCCAAAAAGTGAAACCTTTGAAAGATTTCATTTCTGATTAAAAGCCCTTTGTGCACCAGTATTTTACATTACTGAATACAACTTATGTTTAAACATACATATTGATAAAAAGATGGGCTTCTAGCTTATTTATCTATTAGAATATCTGGGAACATTAGTAGCTCACTGACATTCTGCAGTTAAAAGCTTTCATATGATTTAATGAATCTGCTAATTATTTGCCAGAGTCTAAATTACTGAGATCTGAAGATAAAATGGCTTGTATCTCGACCTCAAGGAGCTTGCAATCTAAAAGAAAAGCATAAAAAATACTGCAGTGTAATGTGTAATGGATATGATAATGCAATGAATGTTATAATGGTGGCATATACAAGATGCAACCTCAGTGTAAAGAAGAGTACATATATATGTGTATCTTCAGGAGAGAGGATATAACCTTGAATTGGAATGAAGATGAGAAATATACCTGGGAGATACAAGAGCAGGCATTCCAGGCAGAGGGGATGGCTTGGGACAGAGTACAGATAGTCAGAAACCTGGTATCATCTGGAAGTTAGCAGATTATTGAGAGTATGGTTGCACATAGGTGGCATATGGGAGGATACAAAATTAGTATGAAAGGCCTTCTGTTCTTTGCATAAGAGTTCAGCTTTTTCCTATGAGTCATCATTTTCCATGTTATGTGTACCACAGGCAGCACATATGATGATTTTTGGTAGTATACCGGTGAAACTTATTTCATTTTAATAGATAGATATTGGCAGAAAAACCTAGCACTTTGAACTTGTGATTTTTATGGATATTACAATGTGCCATTCTTTTTTTTTTTTTTTTTTTTTTTTTTGAGACAGGGTCTTGCTTTGCTTTGTCACCCAGGCTGGAAGGCAGGGATGTGATCACAGCTTACTGCAGTCCCAACCTCCTGGGCTCAAGCAGTCCTCCCGCCTCAGCCTCCAGCGCAGCTAGAACTGACAAGCGCAAGCCACCATGCACAAGCAGTTTTTAAACTTTTTTAATAGAGATGGAGTCTTGCTCAGGCTAGTCTTACCCTCCTAGCCTCAAGTGATCATCCTGCCTTGGCCTCCCCAAGCACTGGGATTACAGGCATGAGCCACCATGCCCAGCCTATGGTATGCCTTTAAACAAACAAATTTCAAAAAAGTTCAAAAAAAACAAAGGTGATTTGCATGTGTCAAGTAAAAGTCAGATTAGAAATTGGTAAAATAGATTTTTAATTTTTTTTTGTTAGAGATGGAGTCTCTGTTACTCAGATTGGTGTATAGCATCATCGTCATAGCTTACTGCAGGGCTTGAACTGCTTGGCTCAAGTAATCCTCCCACCTCAGCCTCCAAAAGTAACTGGTAATACAGTCACAGGCCACTACACTTAGCTAATATATATATTTTTTAATTTTTAGTGATGGGGTCTTGCTATGTTGTCCAAGTTGATCTTAACTCTTGGTCTCCAGCAGTCCTCCTGTCTCAGCCTCCCAAAGTGCTTGGATTACAGGCGTGAGGCACTGCACCCAATTGATAAAGTCTCCTAAACCATTTGAACGATTGAAGAGTTTGAGTAAAACAGACTTGATTAAATGTATATGCTATGTAAAAAGATAGTTAGGTGTTACTGTTTTGTTATATAGTCAGGTTTTACTTAACAGTGCGATACATTCATAGAAATGTGTCAATAGGTGATTTTGTTATTATGGGACATGATAAAATGTACTTACACATACCTAGATGATATAGCCGACTACACAGACCTAGGCTATAAACTTATACATCATGTGAAATACCAAATACTATATTTGTGCAATTGTGACACAGTGATATTTATATCTTAACATGTCTAAACATAGGAAAGATACAGTAAAAATACAGTATTAAAGATAAAAGATGCTATACCTGGGCCGGGCGCGGTGGCTCAAGCCTGTAATCCCAGCACTTTGGGAGGCCGAGGTGGGTGGATCACGAGGTCGAGAGATCGAGACCATCCTGGTCAACATGGTGAAACCCCGTCTCTACTAAAAATACAAAAAACTAGCTGGGCGTGGTGGCGCGTGCCTGTAATCCCAGCTACTCAGGAGGCTGAGGCAGGAGAATTGCCTGAGCCCAGGAGGCGGAGGTTGCGGTGAGCCGAGATCGCGCCATTGCACTCCAGCCTGGGTAACAAGGGCGAAACTCCGTCTC